GAGAGAGAGAGAGAGAGAGAGAGAGAGAGAGAGAGAGAGAGAGAGAGAGAGAGAGAGATGTGTTAGACAAATTGATGGAAATCAGAGAGCTGCACCTGGTTCCACTGCCACTGTACGTACCAGCAGGGGGAGGGTTAAGCCGTTTCGCTCACTGTCTTTCAGAGAGTGTCATTCCAAGAATGCAAGACGAAGTACACATCATCATGTGGGAGTGCTATGTACGTCCGCAGTTTTGTGGTGCGTAGATTGTACATGCACAAATGTTTTCTGTTTGCAAATTTTGCACTCACCAAGGACAGTTCTTGCAAGCACTTGTGGGCATCTGAACAAAGGGTTGCCACTGTTTCTTTCAAAATGCCAAATGCTGTTCCTCCTGAACCCTTGAGCTGGAGGTGGAGAGAATGAAAGAGTGGATGGGCGCAGGGACTGGTATGCTGGTTCCTCTCTATTCCACAAGGTTCTTTTACTCCAGTGCACCCCACTCACCTAATGGTCCAATCTAATTGTCTTAATTGAATGCTCCAAACCTAATGGTGCAAATCTAATGATCCAAATCTAACAGTCCAAATGTCATGGTCCAATCCAGAAGGGTTTTACTTCAAACTTTTTAGTGCAGAGCATCCTATCCTCATAGCTGCTATTATAGGGCTAATGAAGTGTATGTGTATGGGAAAAGAAGGAATACAGCGGAACTACCCTATTTATTGTTCAGGTGGGTTGTTTGGTTGGTCACTTCGCTGGTGAGCATGTGGGTGGGTGGATGAGGGGGGACACCAGTTACTCTTATGACCGTTCTTGAGTGGGTGGATTTCTGCATGCCATCCTTCTCCTCCTCCGTGTTCTTTTTGTCCCTATAATGATTGTCATCAGTGTCATCATTGTCATCGTTCTCGCCATCCTCTATCGTTATCACTACCACCGTTATCCATCATCTATCATTTTCTCTTCTTTCTCTCCCTGCTGCCGTCCTTCTCCTCCCGTTCCTCATCATCATTTATCGCCCAATTCCCTATCTTCTTCTCTTCTCCTCGTCTCTTCCTGCGCATGATAATTGTCCTCCTCCTCCTCATCATCATCATCCTTCATCATCCTTCATCATCCTTCATCGTCCTTCATCGTCCTCGTCCTCTTCCTCCTCCTCCTCCCCCTCCTCCTCCTCCTCCTCCTCCTCCTCCTCCTCCTCCTCCTAATCATCCTTCATCGTCCTTCATCGTTCTTCATCGTCCTTCATCGTCCTTCATCGTCCTTCATCGTCCTTCATCATCATCATACGGGTTCTTTCATCATTCTTCATCATCATTCTTCATCATCATTCTTCATCATCCGTCATCATCATCCCTCATCATCATACATCATCTGAGCAGGAGGCAGAAGGATGATCTCGGTACTCCGGATCGCATGCCATGAACTCTGTGCGTTCACTGTGAAAGTAAAGCTTCGCGCATTGAGTCTTATTGCAATTGTCTAGCTGTCTATCATATGCATTCATCATCATCATACGCATTCACCATCGTTCATCATCATTTATCGTTATCGTCATCATCTGCTCCTCCTTCTGCGGCTGCTTCTGGTTCTTGTCTTGGAAAGGAAAGTAAAAGAAGAATTGGAAGACTGAACCTTGGTGACCATTCACAAGAGAACCTTTAGCACAATTGAGGTTACATTCGAAAGCACTGAACTAGCCGTTCACAAGAAAACCGTTCAAACTGGCAGAAAGTCAATGCTGTTTACCTCTCACTTAGAGGGGCAGCACAGTTGAGTTGATGCTTTCTCTCTGGTGCAACATTCCTGCTGCTGATGACTTCCTACATGTCATAGTTTTCAACTGTGAAAGTTTTGAAGTTTGGAGTTCTCAACATTTTTGAAGTGCGAACGAAACAGGTTTTGATTAGAATCTTATTCACAAATTTCCCGTGCAGTTTCATCATCCAGCTGCGTGTGGAAGAGGAAACAGTCTGAAAGACACAAGGAGGAGTAGAAAAGACGTACGGAGTAGGACTCCGCCACTAAGTCAGACGGCATGGCAGGCGTAGCCAGCTTCCATGGACTAGCCGCCGTTTGCAAGTGCCCAGTCGGGTTGAGAAGTGTCGTGAGGCCTTCAGGAGACGATGCATCTCCTGCATTGAGGGTGACAAAAGGCAAAATGAGTGTTTTGAATCATTGCTTTTGTGTTCTAGTGGAGGGTGAGTTCCTGAGAAGGCACATCATGATGTCAAATTGCCAACGTGCTGCAGCAAGTTTTTCCACTCTACGAATTTTCAGATCTTTTCATGGAGAGACAAACAAAGAAAGTGGCACCTGCCCGTCGAGAAATTTCTCCAGCAGTCACATCAGCAGGCAACCATGGCACTCCAGGAGGCAGGTATTTGTTCCGAAAGCAGGTCATTGCTCCCCGGAGGAGTCGTCGGCTGCAGACATCAGTGCATCGCCCAGCAGTAAAGATGATTCGTCACCGGATCCTGGTGAATTGCTTTCAGTTGTGCAGCGAGAATCGTCTTCTTTGGGTGGCAGCAAATGTGTATCCATCGAGAGTTTGCAGGACCATGCCTCCCTGCCGGCATCTGAAACACCGTCTGGCATTCTGACATCATCATGTCAGGCACAATCGGAATCGTTGGGAATAAGGCAATGGATACCGAGAGTGTCACAACATGTGGCAGAGCTGTTGCTTGGTGCATGGTCAGCGCTTCAGCGCCCTGCGGTGATAGCGGCGCTGGTTTTGTTCTTGGTGTTGCAGATGCCGAATGTGGCGCTTGCGGCAAAAAGTGGAGGCCGGATGGGTGGCCGTTCTTTCTCTTCACAAGGGTCAGGCGGGCCTGCACGTGTTTATTCGGCACGACCGGGGGCAGGACGAGGAATGTTCAGTGCACCCTACTCTGCGCCTTCACCTTTCTTTGGTGGGGGCGGGTTTGGGTGGGGGTGGTCACCCTTCTTTTATAGGGGCCCGACTGTTGTGGTGGGGGGTGGTGGAGGTGGGGGACTATTTACCCTTCTGCTCTTTGGGGTTGTCGCTGCTTTCCTGTTTCAGACGGTGTCAGGCTTTCTGTCTGACATGTCTGTCGATGGGTCCACGTCTCTGTTAGGCGGCGAGCGGATCAGCGTTGTGAAACTGCAGGTCGGGCTACTGGGCCTGGCTAGATCGCTGCAGAGAGATCTTGATAGGATTGCTGACAGGGCGGACACCTCATCACCTCGTGGTCTGCATTATGTGCTGCAGGAGACGGTGCTGGCCTTGATGCGGCATCCGGACTATTGTGTCTATGGAACGAGCTCAGCACAAACATATAGAGGAGTGGAGAAGGGAGAGGAGAGATTTAATCAGCTGTCTCTGGAGGAAAGGAGTAAGTTTGAGGAGGAAACGATGGTGAATGTGGATAGCAGGGTCAGGAGATCATCGCTGTCGTCATTAGGGAAGGAACGGTTTAGCAACGAGTACATCGTAGTAACAATCTTAGTTGCAGCAGATGGAGATATCAAAGTCCCATCAAGGCTGAATAATCTTGACGACTTGCGGGCTGCATTGTCAAAGCTAGGGGCCATTCCAGCCGATCAGATCCAGGCCGTTGAAATCCTGTGGACCCCCCAAGATATGGGGGATACCCTGACGGAGAGGCAGATGCTTCGCGATTATCCGCAGCTGCGAAGTCTATGAACAAACGAGTGAGCTGGAAAAACTCAGTCGCAACACATCTTTCTGACAGATATCGTTAATCTGTGTGCCATACCACTACTAGCTATACTACCGGAATATTTGTGTATCCTTTCCTCCACCAACTGGCTTAGCTCAGTTGGTACACCCCTGAACTGTTGAGATACAGACCTGAGTTCGAACTCCACTGGACGAAGATGAGTAAAATATTACAATTCTTTTTTTTTCCTTTCCTCCTATGCCACTTAACTTGACATTTGTGTGGAGGCAAAAACGGTACAGCTGAACCTTCACCTTCAAGGCAATGAAGATATTACATGGTGTCGGTCTCTTGCTGCGCGTGCAAACAGCCATGGTGTGTGTGTGCCCAGCAGGCACAACTAATAAGAGGAAGAATCCTTTGCTGATTCTTCTTCTTGCTATGTCTTCTTCCTATTGGTCAAATATCCGAAATAAATTCAAATAATAATAATATTAATATTATTATAATGATAATAATAATATATGTTATTAAGTTTATTAACTTTTATACTAGCAATAAAATTGGATAAATAATGATAATAATAATGTCTGTTATTAACTTGTTAAGTTTATTAACATTTCTAGCAGCAATTTGCTTCCATGTTTCAAGGAATTTTAAACTGTATGCAATATTATGCATGTGTCCACCCCATCGATCAGCCCTCTGTTTGCTCCCAGCTATTAACGAATCTGTCATGTTAACAGGCATTCCCGTACCCTCACCCCACCCCTGTGCTGTTACAGCTTTACAGGTAATCTCCTCCCTATGCCTCCCCCGGCCCTACTCCTCCCTACACCTCCCCCGGTAATATTCCAGGGGTTTTCAACCGTCCTCGGAACTGTTACAACTTACAAGGGATCAGCAGCCCCTCTATACCACTGCAGCAGACTCAGCCACTCTGGGAACATAACATTTATGCAGGGGCTGCAGACCCACTCCCAAGTCCTGTGCCTGAAATTGCATGCATCATGCCCAGGGAGCATCAGAGAGAGACAGACACAGAGAGAGAGAGAGAGAGAGAGAGAGAGAGAGAGAGAGAGAGAGAGAGAGAGAGAGAGAGAGNGAGAGAGAGAGAGAGAGAGAGAGAGAGAGAGAGAGAGAGAGAGAGAGAGAGAGAGAGGCTAATTATTGCCAATGTGTCCTTGTACATACAAAGTTGACCCAGGAGGGAGGGCCTCCTCTTGGCAAGAGTGGTTACTGCAGAGACATGGAATGGGCAGGGGCGTAGGTGCAGTGGGAGATGCAGACGGGACAACATTTTTAAAGGGGCCCATGAAGAATGGACGTTGATGACAGGAGGAGAGGGGGGGGAGAAGAGCAGGACCGTTGTTCTTCTGCATGGAGACAAGCGACCCCCCGCTAGGCAAAACCGTCCTCCACTGCTTTTGCTTGCCGATTGGTTGATGAATCAATGCCCACTCTGCCTCCGACCTGACCTTGTGAACATCTATTAGGCTGATCAAGTTGGATCCAGAGGTAGTGGTGGTTTAAACTAGAGGATGATGATGATGTCAGCACAGCGCTCAGCAGCAGATTCGCAGCGTCAGCAGCATCAGGGCATCACTGACATATCTGCTGCACGACCAGGGAGAGCAGTACGTGTGTGACCATGTGGCAGTGGCGGTTTGCTGGCGGCATGAGTATGATGCATTATCAGCAGCAGTGTCTCCACAGACTCCACACATGGTAATCAGCAGCAGTGCATCTCAGCACCAGTGGGTGTTTGCCCAAGGGATGGATACGAATATGGCCCAGCGGCAGGCCATCCATAGATTCTATACTTGTGCACCAGCAGCAGAGTAGAAGCCGCAGTGAAACTTCTCTAGCTCAGGAACAGGAGTAACGTACCAGCTGATGATACACACATGTAACTCTCAATAAATAGATCGTGAATTCAAATCCCGAAGGAATCAGATGGACACAATAAGGTTTGTGCCTACCCCCTTAAACCGCCAGTACACGGCCTCAGCCTTGCAGAAAAAGCAACTCGTCGCCACCGCACTGCAGCAATGGCTCGGCCTACCGGACCACAATGGCAGGCGGTGCCAGCCAAAATAGGAAAAAGGTGTGCTGCTGGCGGTTCGGAAAAGCCTGGCGCACAGTCCAGCGCCTCCAGGCCCGGCTGTGCTGGTGGTTTGAAAAAAGGCAGTCATGTACCAGTGAATTTTAGCAGCATTCACCCACAGGATGAGTATGACTCACCGGAAGCAGAGGATCCATTGATTCCATACTCGTGAATCCGCAGCAGAGTACATGTCATAGTCAAGCCGCTGTAGCCCAGAAACAGTACTGCCAAGGCTAAAGTTGTGGGCTCAAATCCCTTCCGCTCGTCAGCTTTGCTGCCTGGGCAAGTGATGTGTACCAGTTGTCCTCCGATGCTCAAGCAACAGTTAGCTCCAATGGTTACGAAGCAGGTGCAGAGTACCAGTAGTGCTGCACTCATGGAAATGTATCAGGTATATCAGTTGTTTGAACCTGCTACAGTAAGCAAACGGAAGTATATGTGCTGCAGCATTTGTGGATGGGCATTTCTGTCTACGTGCAGATTTGTTCCAGGAGCAGTACACAACCAGCTGCAGAAAATCCTCTACTCAAATGGATATCAGCACTTTACCAGGACCACTGTTATGGCAGCTATGGACCAGGACTACTGTTCTGGCAGCTGTGTACAAGGACCACTGTCCTGGCAGCTGTGTACCAGGACCACTGTCCTGGCAGCACTTTACCAGGGCCACTGTCCTGGCAGCTGTGTACCAGGACGACTGTCCTGGAAGATGTGTACCAGGACCATTATTATCCTGGCAGCAATATACCAGGACCACCGTCCTGGCAGTAGTGTACCAGGACCACTGTCCTGCAGCGCACCAGCAACAACACAACATCTGCCTGATCACAATCAGGTCACCAGCTTAAAGTGGCCAGCATGTTTAGAAAATAGCAGCAGTGAACCAGCAGCAGCAAGTGTAGTGCCAGCAGCTCTGTGCACTAGGAGCAATTCTGCAACCAGCAAGTGCACCAGCTGCAAGTATAGTCCCAGCAGCAAGTCGAGCACCACACCAAGTTCAGTCCTAGCAGCAATCCTGTAAGGAGGTGCCAGCAGCTAGTGGAGTCAACAGGACGCTGCAGCAAGTTCACTGTTCGCAGGACTCAGCAGCAAGTGCACTGCTGGCAAGACTCAGCAGCAAGTGCACTGCTGGCAAGACTCAGCAGCAAGTGCACTG